GCTTTCTTCATCTTCGCAGAGTTGAGTGGGTGTTAAGTTAGTGAGCTATTTTCTAGTGACGGTTCTGTGATCTTAGCTTTGATTAAGCTGACAGTTTGTCTGGTTCTTAGCATTCTGATAGCATTTGAAGTTGCTCTATGCGCTGCATGTGATGCTGTACAGCAACCTCATCTCAGTCAAATTACAGTCAGCATAAACACGACTCATTTGGGAACGAAATGTAGAACCAGGTGTAACCGGAGAAAAATATAAACCAAAGAAATGAAATCGATACGTAGCTTCAGCAGCTAATATAGAAACAGCGTGAAGGGGGCAGGTGGAGGTCTTCAAAACAGCTATCTCAGCCAAACTGTAACAGTGATAGATAGGGTCCTGTCAGAGGGAAAGCGTTCTTTGTTGACGCCTTCGAAACAGAGTCACCGCCTGCACCTGAATCAATAGCGCCGAAAACAAGGTCATGATGGGTCCTCACAGTGAGGTCAGAGTCACTCGTAGAGCCTTTAGAATTTATGGTATTTCAGTGTGGCAACTTTTACAGCACTGTAACGTTGTCACCTAACCGCAGCACATTCTTCCATTTTTCTTCTTTTTTTTTTTAATTCTTCAAGGAAGCGGAAGAGTCAAGCAGATGCTATAAAAGTGATCAAATTACCCGGCCCTTCGGTGTTCAGCAGAGGCACTTGAGTAATGATGGAAGTGGCTGTCAAAAAAGGCCTCTGAGAATTTTTCTGGCAGAGGCTGGAGTAAAGACAGCGGTTCAAGGACAGGTTCCTTTAAATGAATACTGGACTACACTGAATTGAATGAAAAGATGCAATGAGATGAAGGAAAGTCCCGTGGGCAATGGGTGGTAGAAAAGGCCATTACAAATATCAAGGATCTTTAGCATAATCAAGAACAGCAGTTCAGAGAGGCCTTGCACGTCTCTCAAGGATCACAGAGGGGGGGAAAAAAGCATCTCGACCCTCGAGAAACAAACAAAGTTAAAGGACGTGGGAGGCGGTTTGAAATCAGTTCTGTGGATCATCACCAACCTACTCCACTGTCACAGTGCAAACAACTCAAGTTGTTTTGTCATTTATATTGTGGAAGCCATAAATATCTAATATGAAAACTCAGGATTCCAGCAGATATCATCGATCGGGTATTTGCTAATTATCAAATTAATTATGTGTGTGCCTCATGCTGGAGCAGAGGGGTATCTCTAATGTTCAAATTAATCAAATTGAGTTAAGCACCGGATAGTGAAATAAAGATTATTCTTCCCCGGTCACTTTAAAATATATTAGTGATAGTCTGGTTAACTTAGAAGACAACCATAGTCATTAATCTCATAAAAAATGAAATAAAAATCTGTTTAAATACCATTCCAGTCCAAATCAAACACGGAAATGTCTCAGACAAAAGTCCATTCAATGAACAGAATCCAACTCAAAATCACAAAACAGACAAAAATTCTATTTCACTATCCTGATAAAGAAAATCAAAAACTTTCAAATGATATCAGTTTAAGAAAGAATCATTCGAGAACTGAATGAGGTATGAGAGTGTTGGTGAGAGGCTAAGAAGCTAAGGAAGGAAGAGCAGGCTAGTCAAGGGAATAATGCAGCCTGAGCTGAGGCAAGAGAAAAGAGGAGAAACCCAGAGACTTGGTAAGAAAATAAAGGTGACTTATCTGAACTATGGTTCAACAAGGCACAGACATCTATGCAGCTCTCCAAACAGGCCACAGAGGTGGTGGGATGAGGTGTATCATGTCCTGCTCCAGGGATCAGCTCAGAGTCAAACTTTCTCAGGGATCATATATCAAAAATCAAGCTGGTTCTGAGTTCCATTCACTTAATGTCTCCAATTAGAGGTGAAGATGACCAGAAGCTGTGTTGTTCTTCTGAAATCTCCTGTTCCCAACTTCACTCTATTGCTCTTCATGCCTCCTTTGTTTGTCACACTCAGCTCACAGGTGTGTCTCCTTTAACACCTCACTTCCTCTCTGGGAGGAAAAAAAAAGGGCTGTTCTGTCTGTTATTGCTTTTATTTTCTGCTACAATAGAACATGTTATTTCAAAAACATCTTTAAAATACTACTCCACTAATTTACCGTTGCACTCCGAGACTCACTATAGACTTTCATTGTTAATCAAAATGAATGCAGAAGAACCAGAAGCATCATCTTTGTCATCCCACTGATTCCTCTTCCTTGACAAAATGCACTGCCTGCATTACCCACAATGCAAGTCACTTTCAGTTTTAGCAAAAGCAGCGTTTGATGATTTATGTCTCAAAATGCATTAGCATGCAAATGCCGTTGCGTCACATTTTATGGTGTGATGAGACTGTTTATGATGTGAGATGCAGCAGGAATACAACTGGCGCAGCTCTGATTGATTGTGGTCACATAAATTTCTATCATCACTGTACAAGTTAAATAAAAAGCCACACCATCTGCCTCTGGCTGCAGATCCGAGGCGTTGAGTGTTCGGGAAAATTCAGACAGTAACGAAATTTCCCTCAGACACCTCATTCCATTTGTTCAAAACTGGGTGTTGTGTGTTTGTGAGATTGGCACAGTGTGATGAGAACTGTGATGGGACCGGCCAAGAGAGAATTTAATAACCGCCACACCTTCGGCCACTTCAGGATGCCCTTTTGCACTTTGTGTTGACACCCAACAGCTACTGCTTCTTACTTGACTTTGAGCTTGCATAGGTAACATAGGGTCTTCTGCTTGAAATGACGCAATTTAAATAGATTTTGTTCAGCTCTCTCTGTGTGCAAGTAAGCTTTGATACAGCTTTTTTCACATCTGCAGTAAAACTGTGAGAGACCAGTAAATAGATTCTGGTGTAGCCCTTAAATGGTTGCCAGTGATAACATCAGCTTTGTGTTTACCAGCCAATGTCTGACCACAAATCTAAGTCAAACTGTATTAAACTTAAATGTCCCTGAAAACCTTCGCTGTTGCAAGCAGCATCGTGTGTTCACCTATCAGCCCAATGAGTAACGAGAGAATCCTGAAATAAAATCAAGAGGGGCATCAAAATTATATGAGTGAGAGAACCTTGAGGGAAAGGAAGCAAACTGAATGACTGTTAATCCTCTGGGTTCTCTGTGTGACTAAAGCAATAACAATGTTGCACTTGCTAATAAAATAACTACTTTAATATTTATTTGAGGTGATTCATTTTGCAATTCTTTGAACTAGAATTATTCATTTGAGGCAGGGAGAATGGTGTTTAATTTGTGCTTGCTGCTCTCTGTATACACTAATGTCTATAAAGAAAATAACCCTTCTTAAAAATATATATTTCCTCATTCAGCCTTTTGGTCTCTATCAAATCAGAAATTGTGGAGGGCTCGTGGATTTTTGGGAGGATACTGCCTGCTGTTTCTGTTAAATTGGGACTGAGCAAAGGAGCTGAATGAGTGCTGGTGCAGTTACATAAGCACATAACAGCACTGTGCATGCATGCACACACTCACACACACACGTACACACACACACACACACACACACACACACACACACACTATGTGTATTTTGCTGCCTGCAGTCTATCATTAACCTTGAATGTATTTCCACTGTGACCCGACTCCTGCCCCTCGCTCCCTCTCAGGCTGGATCAGGATAGGTTAAATATCAATAGAAAAGCCTGACATGGGAAGCACCAGCATGTCAGTATTGCTGAAGTTTAAAGTTAGAGCCATGTTTCTTTCCTCTGTTTTTCATTTTAAAGTGTATTAATGTGTTGTTCCCCATCCTATGTGCTCACATTGCAGTATAATCTGATATATTTAGCTTCTCAGAGATGGACTTCTCTCCTGCAGACTCTCGTTGGGCTTAAACACTTAACAGTGGGAAAACGAAAAAGCCTTCAAACACCGCAATAAATCTCCTTTTCAAAGAGTCGGGCATGTTTCTATAGGTTCTAACAACTAAATGAGCACAAACCTGCTTTTTCGGGTTTCAGGTTTTGCTGATTTTATGTCTCTTATCTACACCTCCACCAGGGGTTGTGCAAAATAAAGCCAATTACATTACACAATGCCTTGCAAGCACATTTAAAGAATAGTGTGATTTGTTGTTGTCAGAAGTAGATTTATCTTTGGTGTTTGAAAGTTAAACGAATGCCCCTATCCATGTTTAATGGATCCTGTGCCTATTCTTTTAAATATCAAGTGGTGCTTTACTGTCAAATTACGCTCCCTGGATAAGGAATGATTGTTTGAATCCTTGGATTGTCATCCTTTAACCACTATTTCAGGAAATGTATCGTGACTAAGAACTAGCAACGGCTGTGTAAAAACTATTAAAGGCTCCAGCTCACATTAGCACTTCAGTATTGACAGTGTCTCCAAAATACCCAGAGAATTGAATTTGGCACATTCTCAGAGTTCACAAGTTCTTTGCAACAAGAAGTAAACAGAAAATAATGACTGAAAAGAACAGAAAAGTGCAATCAAATGCTACCAGGGCTGTGTTGGGCAGCTGAGAATGAACTGTGGGGGACATTATTAAATTAGCTCAAGAGTCTGTTTAAATCAGATTAGTGAACTTGTGTAGTGAGTGTAATCCATACATTACCTCATGGGGGGAATCAAACTTGCTGATGTACAAGCAAACATTTGCCATGTGTACACTGCACAGACCTTTTGCTTCTTTTTCATTCCAGTGAAGTCAATAGGCTTCTTTTTTTTTATACCTCAGCAAATGATCAAACACCGACTACAGCCCTGAACTTTACAAGCTCTGTCTTGATCCAGCTTTAATTTGAAATACCTCAACCACAATGTAGACGGTCAAAACTTGTAATAAATGTTTTTTTTTCTCCCTCTTGTAGATCAGACTCATCTTGAAGGTCAATTCCCACTTTCAATATATTAATCCTTACTCCGTGTCTACAGAGCTACAGTAGACTAATCTGTTCACAGTTGATTCTTCCCTTGCCTAATTCACCACAGATATACAAAGCAATGCTTTGAAGAATAATTCACTCAGACAGTTTAATTCTGACATCATAGGTTTTGTCAAGTCTTCCCAAGGAAATCATAGTGATTTATATTTATTTTTGCCTTCAGGTTAAACACTGATGAAACAAGTTCCAACCGAGCGGACTAAAAAGAGATTATTGATCATCACTCACACTCTATACACATGACATGAAAAGGCTGGGTCCTCACAGCTGTTCTTGCACATTATAAACTCGAAGGTGCTGAGACTGATCAGAAAGGAAAATGTAGGAAAACAGGAAGTATTTTCCCTTTTTAGCAGTAACTAGCACCAAAAATCATTTGTTTCTTTTCATTGCAGGGGGCTAAAGCTTCTAAAATGTTACTGAGCATCTGAGTCTGTTTACACTCACATTTAAGTTAACAAACGAGGCGCGAGAAAGAAAAAGAGGAGGAGGACGTGTCGACTGTCAAGTGGCTGTCGGGTTATGTAAATGCGGGGTGAAGGCAGGAACACAGCGAGGACACCATGCTCAGGGGAGCTGGAAAAAAAAATTAAATATGCGTCACCGTTCAGAATCAATCCGCATCGATCCTCTGCAGCGACATGATCTTCCAATAGCCACAGAGTGTCAAAGGTAACACCACCACTGTCAGCCAGGCAGAGAGCGCTCTCCAATAAACACAATGCAATGATGAAAAAAAATACATACATGTTTATTTTTTAAATTTTTTTTTACAAGAAGGGCACGTTTTTTTTTTGTTTGTTTAGTTTTTTTTTTTTTCTTAAACTTTTTTTTATACAAACTGTAAACTAAATACTGTAATAATTCTGAAGGGTTATAATCTTTGACATCACTTTCATGAATGGACACCAGAAACATGTAAATAAATAAATGTATAAATAGTCAGTGACTGTTGCATCTTACTGTAAATTATAATTCCCACGCCAGAGAAAAACATACAGCATGTAAGTCTGCTACACACATTAAGGATTTTTTTTTTTTTGAAGATAAAAAGCACTTGTGTTCATCACGACTACATTTTGAACATCATTGTACAATACTCTATCCCTGCACTCCACAACCCTAAATACTGCCATTTAATGTTTTTTTTTTTTCCTTTTTTTGTTCTGTTTTTTTCCTCTTTTTGTTTTTTACATGAAGCTCTGTCACTGAATTGAGGTTGAGGTAGGGACTCCGTCCTTATTATAGACAGTTAAACAAACTGAAACGTCATTATTAAAATGGCTCCACATTCCCACGGCCTGGGAGTGTTGTTCAGCCCGATGTCTGCTACTTCCCTTTGCCAGTCATCGGAGGAAGAGGAGGAAGAGGAGGAGGAGGAGGAGGGAGAGATTCTGCACTGTCAGATTTGCTTAAGTTGTCATACGCCATGTAAGTACACTGATTGAGAGACCTTGTACTGTCACTATAGCGCCCCAAAGCAACTTGTAGGGCAGCCTGGGGAAAATGCTCCAGATCAAACAAAACATTTTGCTTGTGGGACTATTGCCTGACATCGCCCCTTCTCCAAAATCAAAGCAGTGGCAGCTGGAAAGATGACTCACCGAGTTGACAAGGTGAAGGCTCAGGGTTTTTTTTGTTGTTGTTGTTTTTTTTCTACATGGAGCCGTAATACAGCGAGAGATCCTTCCTGCTCTCAGCTGGAGGTATGTTTCTATAAATGTATACATACAGCATATACGAAAAAACATCTGGTAAACCTGTGAATGCCAATGATGTCACAAGAAATGGCAGATTAATCTCAATATCATCAAGAGTACCCATACCCACCCAAATTTCAGCTTATAAAACACTGGTTAAATCACAGCATATGCTACAGTACAGCCACATTCAGTCAGAAATAGAGGAATTTTTGGCCCCTAAAAAAAACTCAAACATTAATAGAATAATAAGAAAATGGCCAGGTGGGGCTTTGATTCAACTCTTTGACTTAAATTACAGAAAGAAACAGGCTCAGTCTGTTTAATAATAAATTCAATCTGCGTTAACATCGGGTACGCTCATCAAGTCGACAGAGGCAGCCAAGAGAAAAGAGAAAGAGATGGAGGAAAAAAAGGAGGTGTGTGAGAGTGGAGGGGGTGGGAAGAGGCAGTCTTCCCCCCGCAAGGCAGTTTCCTTCCAATCCTGACAGATTAGGTGCAGTTCATGTTTTATTGCATGTTCAAGCAGGGTTGTGTTTGGAAATAATTAGGGAGTAAATTTAAAAGAACCGGTGAGGAGGGAAAAGGGAGGTCTGAGCTGAGCTGATATGGCTGATCGTTTGTAAAAGAAGGCATAGGAATGAGAGCGCAGAGTGGGGAGTTACAGTATGTCGCGGCACTTGAAATAGCTCGAGCACTTGTAGAATGAATTCATAATTGAAGATGGCTAATCCAAATTGCGCTTCGTTTGAAAAATTTAAACTGGCGAGCAGCAAGTGGCAGGAGCTGAGGACAGAGAAGGCAGAGAGGACAATGAGTAGCTTTTGTGTCACAAGCCAAGCCATGTATTGAGCTAAAAGCTCCCCCCCCCACCCACCCACAATCCTCCCCCCTTTTTGTTGCCATCTAGATAGCATTGGATTTTCCAGAGCAGGAAAATCAAATGCTTCATTCAAGACCAATTGCCATCTATTGGATCGGCTCTTCCTTTCACTGATGTGCAACAGTTTCACGCCTTCATGGACACAAACAGCATGAGGTGGACGCCCAGCATACGATGTCAGGAAGCATGTTGCAGACAGTTCTTTCCCCAGCAACACTGACAGAAGAAACTGTTGCAGACTTTGACTAGAGAGCTAAACACGTCTGGCTCGGAAATGTAGTTAAACTATGAAAAACGACAATTAAATTTTACTTAATCTATATGTACATGAATTCTGTTTTATTTTAGTTAGATAGAAATAAAGAATATGGCGTTCCCCCCTTCTCCCTACATTCTTATTCTCATGTCCATCATTCTAACTTGTATTTTTAACAGCTGCAACAATGGAACTTTTAAAAGAAGCAATTACACAGTACTCCTTTTACAAATGCAAACTTGAATACATAAATAAAATACATCGTTGCTCCATTTTTCAATTAATTACAGTCAGGAGTTACTGCTGCAGCCTTACTTTGTCGGAGCTGTCACTAGCGTTTAATATTAGCAAGTTTTTAACTGAGTTAGCCACAAAATTAACATTGTGGAGTGGGTTTATTCGGTGCTAGCAGCAGCTTTGTTTACAAACAGGAGATTTTGCAAATGCATATTTAAAGACTGTTAAATAATATAATGAAAGTAGATCTCACACAGGGATGTTTTAGAGGAAATATGTGGCATGAAATCTGCAGCCTTTTATAATCAAAGCTAACTTTGTCAAAACTGCCTTTTATTAATGTATTTTTAGATTACTGACTATCCTCAGCACTTGTAAATTCTATAACTTAGTAGTGGGTCACTGTTTTAAAAAATGCAACTGTGCAAAGAAAGAAACATGTCTGATATCTTGAAAGTAATCCTCGTGGTGCTTCGTCTTTGGCTCCACTTGTGCAAACAGAGCGACTGTCACACTGCATGCTCCACATCGCCACTACAGCACAGTATGGCTCCCAGCATGAACAATTTACAAAATCAGATATCTGCAAGTTTGCAAAAGGTCAGTAAGTGTCACTTGCATTCTGGCTGAGTGAACTCTGCTGCTGTAGCTGCCGCTGCTGCTGCTCTGCCTCATCTGTCCAAGTGCCGACGTTTTAGTTTACACGTTTACATTTTTATTTTTTAAATTGTAGACTGACGGCATTTGCCAAAAATAGATTCATTAACACCACTAAGTGGGCAGAGGAAGGATTTAAAATGGAGGGCTGCCAAAGGAGATGGTGTGGAGGATACAGACAGACAGAAAAAAAAAAAACACACATAAAAGGAAGGTATGGTGCAGGTGTAAAAGTCCCTGCTGACAGAGAGAGCAGTGCAGACCAGGAGAAAGAAAGACAGAGGTTGGCAAATACCGGCAGCATGAAAGAGGAGGGGGATTTGCTGACTGACGAGAGGAGAGGAGAAAAGATTGGAGGGCTCTGGAGAGGGTTTGCTGAAAAGCGGCAGAGGGGAGACAAAGCTAATGAAAACAGGGAGTGTGGGGAAGAAATGGAGGAAACTTAAGGGGAGCCGGTTCGGTTCGACTGAGGACGGACCAGAACAGGATACAAGGGAAGAAAAGAAGACTGTAGCAGTGACTTTCTCCATTTCCCTCCCCTTCTGTCTCTCACACACACATCAGCTGGATCTCTGAACATTTCAAATGTAATAAGAACATTGAAATACGGTGGAAGGATACAGGTGTAAAACTGAACGAAAAATTAACAACTTGGCTTACGGTATCAAACAAACGGTATCTTTCCCCTGCTAAGCATGAATCAGAACATTGTTACTTTGGTGTCTGAGGAAATTAAAATAAATGATCAGTAATAAAAATGTTTTGATATTGCAACAAAACTGTCGTTCGAACTGTACCAAAGAGAAATCATTGCAATAAATAACTAATTAGACTGTACCAAAACCAGTTTACCCACATTGTTCTCTCCTTCATGAAACACATACAAAGCACCTAGCTACAAGATATTTTACTAATACTACATGGTCCTCCACTGTATATATGTATATACTGTGTTGAAGTCCTTCCAGAAGAGTGTCAGTACTGTACAGTATACACATGCACATGTATACATCTTTGGAAAATGTTTTTTTAAAAATGTATACATGTGCATACAGCTAGAGTTCTGCTTTAATATTCACATTATCAACATTTATCATCAAATGTGTCAATTTCATCAATAAATGCTGAAAGTATTTTGCAGATAGTTGTATCCAGGATAAAGTGCCTTTACTTTAAAACATTCTGTAGGTTTTTTTTTTTCTATGTAGGTTTTTGTTGACAGTCTTATGGTCCTGTATATCCCACTCACTGCTTCAGGCATGTTCTTAGAGATGTCTCTTAATGTTTCTTCAGCTGTCCTCCTGTATGTATACATACACGCCTCGCTTTATTTCGATCCACCTTTTGCCTGTTCTCAACATGACACGGCTTTATGCTGGCCATTCTGTGTTATGGGATTGATCTTTTCCAGCGTGACCTCAGTATCACTGTCTAAATTCCCAGAGATGGCTGGGGAGTGTTTCTCCAGGGCGTTGTTAACCACCCTCGCCTCGATTTCCCCACCACATCCGTCTTTCTTCTGCAACTCCTCCTCCTGGCACAGGATGCTGTGAGGAATCACGTAGCCAGCCGAGTTGTTGCCCTCCTTCGGGATGTGGCTCTTGGGCTGATACTGACAGTTGGGATTCGAGGTAGGGGCGCCCATGTTGTTATTAATACTGACGATCTCAATGGCGTTGCTCCCCGGGCAGAGCCGGTGGCAGCCCAGGAGGATGGAGAAGGCCTTGCGGAAGTCGGCGTTGAAGGCATAGATGATGGGGTTGAGCGAAGAGTTTGCCCAGCCAAACCACACAAACACATCAAAAGTGGTGGAGCTGATGCACGGGAACTCCGTGGACCCGTCTGGCATGTTCACCTCGCAGAACGGAACCATGCAGTTAAGGATGAAGAAGGGCAACCAGCAGCACACAAACACACCCATGATGACTGAGAGCGTCTTTAAGACTTTGGTTTCTCGTTTAAATGACATTTTGAATGAGCTCTCACTCTCCATGTTTGAAGTATTCCCCATGCTGCTGTGACGGTTCTTGGCACTCTCTGCTGCTCGCTCCAGGGCAGATATTCTCCTTATCTGCTTCTGGGCGATGCGGTAAATCCGGGTGTAGGTGACGATCATAATCGCCACTGGGATGTAGAAGCTGATAAGGGAGGACGAGATGGCGTAGGTCCTGTTAAGGCTGGAGTCACAGTTGTCATCAGGGGGCAGCTCGCCGGGGTACGTTCCATTTAGCTCTGAGTAGCCGGTGGTCTGAGCTCTGTGCCAGTTGAGCTGGACGGGAATGAAGGAGATAAGTACGGACAGGGTCCACGCCACACTGATCATCAGACACGCCACTTTCGGGGTCATCTTGCGTTCATAGCGGAATGGGCTCGAGATGGCCCAGTAACGGTCAACACTAATTACACACAGGTTCAAGATGGAGGCAGTGGAGCACATTATGTCAAACGCCACCCAGACATTGCAGAACTCCCCGAATGGCCAAAAGCCCATGATCTCTGTAGCTGCCTTCCACGGCATTACCAAAATAGCCACCAGGAGGTCAGAGATGGCCAACGAGATGACAAAGAAGTTGGTGACCTTCGACCTCAGGTGTCGGAACTTGGTGACGGCAGCGCACACGAGGGTGTTGCCTAGCAGCGTGGTGAAGATGAGCAGAGAGAGGAAGCATCCTGTCAGGACACGTTTGGACGAGTCCCTCTCTGAGGTTAGCTGCTTGCCATCTCGAACCGTTGAGAAATTCTGATCCATTGTTTATGTTACAGTGCGAATAAAGTGAGAGAGGGGGTGGGTGAGGGGGGTGTCAACAGTCACCCCATCACATCCCCAGCCTGCAGCAGCTGTGCCTCTCCGGGGAAGAGTTTCAGACGGACAGCGTAGCTGGTGGAGAGGTAAACTGTCTCGGCACCAGCTCTCCCACAGACTGGGTCATCCATAGGCTCCTTGTCACAACCACCATTCTTGTACAAGAGCTGCTATAAATATTTCAAAAATCTCTCTTCAGAAATTTGCCCTCCAAAAATGCCCGGTTCACAAATTTCTGCAGCAGCAGTGCAGGCAGCAGACATTCTAGTTTGTAGAGGAAAAGGAATATTCCAGCTGTGTGCGGTTGTTTTTGTAATCAGCACCGCAGTCATGAAATAATCTAAGCGCAGCCGTGAAAAGAAAAGATGTTAAAGTAAAGTTCTTGCTCCTTTTGCTCCTTTCATTGCACGCCTCTGCTGTCAAGCCCTCAGCAAAAGTTTCACAACATACTGTTGCTGAGCTTTTGAGTAAACAGGGGCTTGGCCAGTCATTAGCCTTATATACCACCTCATCAATAACTTCTATTGATGGTTTTCAGGCTGCGTTTATTTGATTTGTTTAATGATCTTCGAGGCGTGTCCCTGTGCTTATTGGTCCCCCTATTGACGCTGATCCTCTCCAGCTGCTAGGTGTTGCCTTTTATTTATGTCTCTTATTTATTTCTCGTTGAATGCAAATCAGTGGTAGTAAATGGCACAGTCTCCAGGCAACATTAGCACCTGAGCCCCCCCTAAAATTAAACAGAATTCAAAAGTCCAAATTGAAAGTAAACGTCAATTTCATTAGGAAAACACATCAGCAGACTCTTTTTGTGCTGACACGTTGCTTTAATCCAGATGCGTTTTTGTTGTCTTTTGGTTCAGTTTGGCTGCCCATTCGTGCGAACACAGCAGAGACCACTCTCCTTTAAAAAGAAGAAAGAAAAAAAAACATTCGAGTTATTCTGGTCACCCACCTAAATCATCTCTGGTTGTATAATCCCTGGGTCTTTGAAAAAGAGGAGCAGATTCTCTCTTTTTTTTTTTTTAAATTTCAGTTGCTTTTTTTGGACACCGTGCGCTTGGCTCTGTGGATGTGGACAGCTTCGGACCCCTCTGATGCGTCTTGGGTTCAAAAAAAAAAAAAAGAATCCAAGTATCAATCGCTCATGTAACAAACTAAAAAAAAAAGAAAACATTCAGTCCCAAATCCACATTTCTTCGGCATACATCCAACTTGTATCTTGGTACCTCTCTGCGCTCTCCTCCATGAGAAGTCAGTCACGCTCTCTGATGCTGCGACGGTCCTCAGGTGTTTCCTTCTCTTTTTTTTTTTCCTTTCCTTATGCTTTTCTTTTTGGGGTCATCCTTTTGTTGTGCAACATTCGTTTCCTATGTGTCTGCGGTGTGACTGGCCCGGCGGACAGTGATGGGAATGACTCTGGCTCTTTCCAAGAGCGTTTCTCGTGCGCGCTCCTCTCTCTCCGCTCAGCTGCTGCCTGCTGCTGCTGCTGCTGCTGTGCGCCACGGTCTCTGCCACAACTGTTCCATCTATCCAATGAGAAAAGGATGGGTAAAGCCATATAAATTCACTTTATAGAGCGTTTGTTAAACAGTTGGGCAACCTTTGAATTTATAGCGATGACGGTTTATTATAGGAAAACTGCGCAGAGGAGAATAGGAGAAAAAACAACTTTCCTGTTCCTCAAATGATGTTAAAATCCAGCGAGAGTAAAAAAATTCCACGACTCTCATTATAGCCTACATTATAATCCTCCTGTTTTATTGTATCAATAATAAAGGCATCCCCCTTTAGTAACTTCCACCTCACAGAAAAAAAAAAAATCCCTGCCATAAAGTAGTAAAAATGAAAAGATGAGCTAAAAATGAAGGTGTTGTGATGTCCTGAGATGAACTTGTAGCCAGCGGGCATGCACACAGAGGCACAATGAGGCCATCTACTGGATGCAGGACTGCAGGAAAGGGTTATGTGAGAGGAGAGTGCATGGGGGAGATGACAGGCTGAGCCGCAGCGTTGTTGCATTAACGTCACCTCAGTAAACATGACTGACCAACTCTGAATTATGGAGTCCCAGGAGCTGCAGCAGGAAGACCCACGAATTAAGAGAGATGCTGAGTGTTGAGACATGACTCTGTGTATGTGTGTGTGTGTGATTGTGTTGTGGGGACACATCTGTTTGCATCCTTTTTTTTTTCTTTTCTGGAACACAAAGCAAATGGTTGATTTCAGTAGGAGGGTTTGGTTTGAGAATAGGTTAAAAGGTTAGGTGAGCAGTGGCTAGAATGAGGATAAGGGCTCCAGGAAATGAATAGAAGTCAATGCGATGTCCTCTGAAGTGATGGCAAAGCTGCTGTTTGCTTGTGAGTCAGTGAGAGAGAGAGAGGGGAGGGTAGATGTGAATTACAGCAGCTAATGCTATCATGCCACTTGCTGCCTGGCAGGCCTGCCCAGTTTGAATATTCACTATTTAGCAAGATGAAATCCTCAATGGACTCTCCCCCCATGTGTGTGACTTTTGTTTTGTTTTTTTTGTTTTTTTTTTGCATGTGCATATGTACGACTGCGCATGTTTCTTTGTGTGTGTGTTTTTTTGCTGATGTTGTAGGCTACACATGTATTTGTGTGTGTGTCTGTGTGTGTGTGAGTAATGCATGTAGACAAGCCAAGTGTAAGAGGCCTGGCAGACACAACGCCCACATTTCCCCGTAGCACAGAGCCAGGGTGTGCGTGCAGCCGACAAAGTTCAAACCAAGACCACGTCACACACAAACACACACGCTCCCGCTCATTCACTCGCACACACGCACACACAACCAGTCATGCAGGGTAATTTATGTCTGCTCCAAAAAGCAAACAAAACAGAATAGAATAGAATGGAATAGGTCTCCAGAAACAACTTTTAGGTTTGACTTTAATATTTTTTCATGGCTTACGTAGAAAAAAATAAAAATTGGCATGTCATATTCATGTACAAGCTAGATGCTTTGCTTCATTTGTCTTTGGATTTATACAAACATGGTTTTGCAGTTGATTTCCTAGCACATCCTTTTCATTCTAGAAAACTGTGAATCCATTGTAGAATCAGTGTTCGTCCCAATGAATGCCCTTTGTTTTAAAAAAGTCAGCAGCAAAAGTCTTAACGCATCTGCTGGTTTGAATGGAATTACACTGAACCAAATGATAAAAGCAGCATAAAAATTGCGTCGTTTTCTGACTTTGCGAAAAAGTGAAAAAATCATATTGCTATTTTTACGTTTAGAAAAGAGTTGAATTTAGTTGAGGAAAAGTTTCGAGCTGCTCAGTGGGTTACAAACTCTCGACAGTTGAGCTAATCCACACCCTGGTCAGGTGCAGCTTTAAAGGACAATGATCAAATAGTGTGACCAGTACACAGACACTCGTCTGACCGGTGGCTATGAAAGGTCACCTTAAAATGCAGCTTTATTCAAATGACTCGATGCCACAGATGACAAAAAAAAAAAAAAGGCTGTTGGCAAGCTGGATACCTTCATGTCAGTTAGGGCAGTTGAATGTCCACAACTCCACCATTTCTCTGAGAAGAAATTGTTTCAGATGCGACGGTATACGACAGATAATCTGTCACACTAAGCTCTGGATGGACGTGTCTGTCAACGTGACCAAGTCCTAAAAAAAATCCGCCAACTTCGCCAAGGTAGATTGGGACAACATTCCAGATTTCAGATGTGTGACTCTTAACTGACTTGTGATTTCTGTTTTATGACTATCAATCTGTACATTATCATTTCCAGTACAGTGCATACTTTATTGATTCACGGCATCCATTCTGCTGTAGAGATGCTGTGCGTTGGAATAACAAATACTTATTCCCCCATGTAAAAGAGAATGGATAGAATTAGATAAAATATTCCATGTTATGTTTCTATTTTTGTTCAGTATTATACTATAAGTTTGCTAATGAACTAGGGTAGGAAAGTTTGTCTAACTTTTTATGACACCAGTGAGGCAGCTCGCCTCCCCACGGGAACTTAATCAAGTGGCACAATTTGCCATTGTGCTGCCCCTCGGTTATCCCTAACGGCAGCGAATTGGAGGAGATGATCTAAAAACTGTCCAGAAAGGCTTCTCGCCGTCACCGTGTGGTCCATTCTCGTCTCTGAGGGCAGTAAAAAGCGCTATCCTTTAATTTTCGGGGATTCAGCCTAAACCCAGTCCAATTACCACAAGCAGGTATTCATCCATTCAAATGCTTAAGGAAATGCCAAAGATGTAAAGGTTGCTGGGGAGGCTGGAATCTGCAGAGGACAATTCCAAGATTAATTTCTGGCACTTGGTACAAGTTTTATAAAACACTTGAAGACTGAATAAGATTCAGACATCAATGATCTACACGCGCATACTTTTGTATTAATGCTACCATAATGGATAACTGCTGCCAGAAGGGATGCGTGAAGCCAAGCTGCATCATCAGCACAGCGCAGATGATTTGTATAAGAAAACTGGCATTCACGCTGTCAAGCAAGTTCCTCTAATTAAAATAAAGCAGCCTTTGCATAACAACTTATTTGGGAGACTTTCCTGCGTTATCTACCAAATGTCTAAATTTGAGGCTGGTTCAGTAAATTTACTGAAGTTAATGTAGAATCCAATTAAAATTATAGCTGTTCTAAAAAAAAATTGTATTTATCAGAGGCTGCACTCATTTCTTATTACCGGAAGCCTTTCTAGTTTCTTCCACCAATAAGTTGGGCAATTACTTCAAAATACTGTGATGCAGATCCGTCTTGAAAGTCTGTGTATGAATATTCTTCTAGTGAGTGAAAATGCTCTCTTTTCCAAAATATAACCTTTGAGCCGTATCACAAATCGCACAGTAAAGATTTAGAGACAATGTAAATATACAACAAGCTGTACTCATGATACCGTATGTTTTTTTTTTGCAGAGTTTAGTGTTTTAAATTCTTGATGACTCCCATCTGTAACATCAATCTAGAGAGCAAAACTGGCAAACAGGCATTTTGGCAACTGCCATCTGTCGACAATGTAGCTTTGTTTCCTCTTCTTAGGCATTCACTGTCAGATGTGATTTCTCTTTAATGACGTATTGCTTTTTATCTTTGCAGAGCAAGAAATCCCATTTTAAAGCGATCATAAAACATCATAGGGAATTGATGAGACTTGTGTCAAGGTGTTCGTGGCGAGATTTTTCAAGCCTGTCAACGACATTGGATTATTCTCCGCGGAATGCCAGAAAATAGAATTAAAAAAAAAGAAGAACTGTCAGATGTTACTGAGTCATGCTTTTCTGATCTTTTACCGACATGTTACAGATCATAGAAGGGCTTCTGTGTGCCTGTTCATATGTTAGAGGTGAGAGGAAGTAGAGAGAGAGAGAGAAAAAATAGGGTCAGGAAGACTATGAGACTAATCCCTCAAAAAAAAAAAAAAAAACGACACCCTGGCTTGCAGACTGAGCGTCCTCCTCTCTCTCTCTGTCACACACACTCGCACTCTTTCTTTCTCTCTCTGTCCTCTTGTAAATCCTCTTTGTCAGTGTGACATCCATCAGGTCTCTCTGGCTGTTGTTGTGGAGCCTCTAACCTCCAGACACCCAGCGTGAAGAAAATGTGGTGTGCTAATCTCACCGCTGAGATTCCACAACTGACGAGCAACAATTTTCCTTCCTCAACCATAACTACATAATTACACTCATTTTGGGAATCTGAGGTAATGCAACCTATAGTGTTTCTGCATCCTCACACATACAGGCTTTTTTTTTTTTTTTTTTACAGTGTGTGACAGTTTTTTATGTGACCGGAGACCAGAAAGACCTCTAACTGATCTCATTGAGCCATTAGACCTTTAACTGCTGCTTTGCTTGAATTCCCTCCGAGCTAAAAGGGTGTTTATTTACGCTACATAAGATAATGGGGGCAGAGGTGAAAGCATGTAAAAGTAAAGGGATGACAGGCTTGGTTGAGGATAAAAAAAGAGACACTTTTATTATCAGTTGCAGCCATAGAAATGCTCAGTGGGGTCAGGTTCAAAAGACTACTTCATAAAATATACATTTAGAAACAAACTATTTAGTTTCACGTCTTTTTTTTTTTTGTTGAAAGTCTTTACTCTGGTGAAACCGTTTCATAGGGTACCTCTGTAATCTCTGCAGTGCATACAGGAAATTTCCAGTCGCGCACATACACCGAAACCTGATTTTATCTCGCTTTCTTCTTCTCTTCATTCTCACTTGTCTCTTCCTTTATGTGAGGGGATAAAAGATTCTCTGCAGTTGATATTTTTGACCATCTGTCCGCAGTTTCATTTGTTAAAGTGGGTTTGTAAAGAAGTGGCGGCTCCGGTCACGCAAAAGGTTAATCTCTAAGTATATTACGTGCATGTACACGGTGTTTCTATCGTTGCGAGGACACTCA